ACAGGCATGTGCCACCATGCCCGGCTAATTTTTTCTATATATTTTCAGTTGTCCAGCTAATTTCTTTTATATTTTTAGTAGAGACGGGGTCTTGCTGTTGCTCAGGCTGGTCTCGAACTCCTGAGCTCAAATGATCTGCCCGCCTCGGCCTCCCAAAGTGCTAGGATTACAGGCCTGAGCCACCATGCCCGGCCTGCTTTCATCTTTTGATTCTAAGCAAATTTGATTCTTAGATGCTTTTGACATCCAAGAGGACCACTGACTCAGCTATACTAAAGTGATTAGAAATGGGAGAACTGGGGAAAAAGTCACTCACAAAGTACAATTCCTAGATCATGAATTGGCTAGATCCAGGGGATAATAGCATTCAGCTAAACTCACAGCCCAGAAAGAACAATCAAAGTTAAAAATCTCATGAAGGAAAAAAGAAAAAAACCCCATGAAGAAATAAGTAGATGATTTTATACATAGGTCACCAAGGAGGGATATCAGAAGACTCAAAGAATTATAACTGTGATACAAATGTCTACTCTGAGAAGCTCTGTTAAACTTAATATTTAATCATTTATACAGATAAGCTAATAATGGCACTAGTGTGTAAGAACAAAACAAGTTAGTCTCCTAGAGACTCCAACTCCCTAAAAAAGGAAAAAGTAAACTATACCTATACCAAAAGTAATTAGAATGTCATTTGAAGGACTAAGCAACTAAACAATTTAAGAACATATTGCTACAGGTTGAGTGTTTCTTATCTGAAATGCTTGGAACCAGAAGTGTTTCAGATTTCAATTTTTTTGGATTTTGGAATATTTGCATATACACAAGATATTTTGGGGATGGGATGCAAGTCTAAATATGAAATTCATTTATTTCACATACACCTTATACACATAGCCTGAAGGTAAACTTTTATACAATATTTTAAATAATTCTGTGCAATCATTAAATGAAATCAGATGTGGAATTTTCCACTTTTGATTCATTTGGAGCTTAGAATGTTTTGGATTTTGGAGCATTTCAGATTAGGGATGCTCAACCTTTTAAGACTAAAAAAGTCACCTTCAGGGACTTGTTCAAAAAACTTTTAACATACAGAGTAAAAACTACTTCCTTTTTACAGTCAAACCTCTAGCTAAAAAGGAGGTACAGACCAGGTATAACTAGTATTCAAGAAGGATCTTTAAATTTTTATTTTAGAATTTGACATGTTTCTCATCATGTCCTAGGACTTGAAAAATTATCCCGCCTCATAAGTGGTTCTATTTCACTCATATCTGAAAATTTCTATCTTATTAAACTCTTTAAAAAAAATTTATAATTGGCAGAGAGCGGTGGCTCCCTCCTGTAATCCTAGCACACTGTGGGAGGCCGAGGCGGGAGGATCGCTTGAGGTCAAGAGCTTGAAACCAGCCTGAGCAAGAGCGAGAACCTGTCTCTACTAAAAAATAGAAAAAAATTTATTAAAAAAAAATAATTAAATTCTCTAGACCACAAATTAGTAAGGTAAAAACACACACACCTAATAATACCTGAATGTATAAATGTAGGTATAAATTATGCAGTGCAAGCTAGAAAACTTATATTGCTCAAATGATCCTGACATTGTCAAATTTAAAATGTAAATTTATTTAATAAATATTTACAGAAACACAGAGAGAGAACCAAGCACTGTAATAGTCACTGGGGATACAAAGACAAAGAGATAAATCCAATTTGGAGAAACACCGTGTATTAACACATCTGGCAAAAAAGTTTTTTCCTAAGAGCTGTTATTTTTAGCAATAAGAAATATTACATAATGTATTCAATGAAGCTTATACTCTAATACCTTTACCAATAAAAACAGTTCTAAGCATAGTTCCCAACATGGCAAAAATTTCAGATACACAGCCGTCGCTAGCTCACGTAGGGACAATCCTGAGTTTGATTTCTTAAAGCAGATAGTATAGTAGTTCAAGAAAGCATTCCATTGCCCTTTTATGCATAAGACAGCAACCTCATGCTAAACTTTATAACTAATAAGTGTTATGGGTTGAAAATACAAAATGTAAAATGTATTCTCTACTATGTTGTGTTACAGATAGGTTTTTTTTAAAAATCAAAATCCTTACTTACCGACTTTGTTCTTTCCTTTGTTTTATTAACTGAACGAGTTCCTTGTCAAAATAATCGTCTTCCTCTTCCTCTCCCTTTCCATCATCTTCTCTTTCCTGGGCATCAACATTATCTTTGTGCAACTGGCCAGAAATGTGCTTTGCATATGCAGAAAGACCCACTTCTGTGACCCCGCACACTCGGCACTCATGACTACTGTCCCTAGGGAAAGAGGGAGATGAGGGACATTCAATTCTCCCCACTGGCATGGCACACTCACCAGATCTGTTACGGTTTCCTCTGAAAGACACTGCACACTTTGGCACAGTGAAAAAGTAGTGTTAATCAATTTTAATGCTCCTTTCATCACTTTTAATAAGTTTGTTCATAAGTTACTTTTGAAATGAATTTAAGATTCTTTTCCAGCAATCAAGAGGCAATATACTTCAGATTAATGTCGTTTAGGAGGAGAAATCTTCTTGAATTGCTGTACTTAAAATCTTGCCAGAGGAAACATGGTGAAAGGGGAGGCAGGGCAGGGGGCTCAGAGCAAACACAAGTTGCTCTGGAGCACACCCATGGTGCCAGCTGCACTCAGAAAGCCTGGTGACAGCACTTACATTTAATCTCCAGTCTACAGCTTTCTTCCAGTGAAAGTTAAGGGGTGGAGAAAAGAGTAGGCGGTGCAACCAATCCCAACTGGGTAACTAAACCGGAACAGCTGGAGCTCTGCCTGGAATGTGAAGATTCCGGACCGGTGCAAATGATAGGAGCAGTCCAGGCAAACTTTTTTGGTCTGGATGATACATGTGATCTACATTCTGCTTAAGAAGGACTTATTTTAAAGGGAATGGAAAGCATTTCATTTGTAGGAAGTTAACAGCTGTGCTAAGCAAATGTTTTTTCTCAAGTTTCAGAAAATGCTGCAGTTCAGAGAGAAGCAAAACCAGGTTTTTAGTTAAACTGGGCAGATTTGTTTTAATTTTCTTTTACTGTACACACTTAATGGTAAATCTCATACTTGGCCAGTCTTAAGAAGCCAAAGTCTTGAATCAATGTCCAGAGCCATAGCAGGTCTACAGTGTAACTGCTTTTTAGCTTCCTAAAATCCTTTGATTAGGTCAGCTGTCTGTGCAGTCATTTATGAAAAACATCTGAACACCATGGCTACAAGACAGCAGTATCCATTCAATAATCCAAATTGGCTTAACTCTGTATCATGTGTCTTGGGTTTACACTAGTTATATTTTTGCACTTCCTATGCCAATCTATAAAAAACCAACACAAAAAGACATGCTGTCTAGGGCCGGACAGACAAAAACATAAAAGCGCGTGTGCATCTCAGCTCCTTCTTCCCCACACATATACCTAAACAAGATACGGGCAGAATTTATATCAATTAACTAGAAGAGTCTCTCAAAACTGAGCACTTCATTGCCTAGAAAATGGTTTCTGATATAGATCACCTGAACATTTATTCAAAAATAAAAGAAAGAAAGAAACCGTATTGAACAATTACTAAATTCCAGGCACCATGTTAGGTATATGTCACTGTTGTCTAGGGTGACAAAGTATAAACACTCAATGCCCAATAAGTACAAAAACAAGTTTCTTACTTTGTAAGAATTATGGAGAATGCTTCAGAAAAATTGAGAAAATTACAAGTTTTCACCTTTTTTTGACTTTGTAACCTCAAATGCTAACATATTTAAGATTCATTTTGATGATCTCTGACCAGGTTCCCTAAAAATATTAATACCTGATTACCCAGAATATATTCAATTTGCTTCTACTTCCACAGATCCTAAAATACATTATTTTCACTGATAGTTTTCAACTGTCCTTACTACATTTGTATATTTAAAGAAGAATAATCCTCAAATTTTTCCAGTTTACCAGGGATAGACACACGCTTCTCTCAAGCAATTAAATTGATGGGAGCTCATTCCAAGTGAATGTTAACTTGTTTCTCACAGCAACACAGAAAGAAGTTAATATATAAATATAAATCTACCCATAATGGGCAGCATCAGAACAATCTATAACAAACCCAGAATACCTAATTTACACTATAAATATTTAAATCAACTGAATTTTCCAGTCAGAAAATCTTTGTGTCTTAAAACTCTCTAAAACTATGGAAAATATTTTAGTCTACTTTTCTACCTAAAAAGTGTAGAATGCTTAACTGTATATTGCAGTAGGGACATCACTTAATTGGAAACTTTTAGTACAAGGTATTTTTAAATAAAAGCCCTGATTTTACCCCTATTTCTAAAATGCAGAGAATTTTTCTCACGTTTAAATCATCAAAAACCCTCTCTCTTTAAAGACACAACTAGAAAGCCACATTGACTATTTAAAAATATTAAAGAATGTAGCATAAAGTAGGCAGAATTTAACTGTTAAAAATAAACATCCATAATCATAAACCCACACATTTTGTAACCCCAAAGCACAAACATATGTTGGATACTTAACAGAAATTCAAACACAAATTTTTAAAAACATTTTGCTTTCCTTGTGAGAAAGAATATTACCATAGTTCCAGTTATTTGATAGAGAAACACAATCAAAGACCCTCCCCTGAAGAGTACTGGTAATAAATAACGCACCATGAAAGTAAATACTAAAAATGATTTTTCAAAAAAAAAAAAACAGAAATCCCTAATGTTTTTCTTGCAAATGACATCTAGTTTAAAAAAAAGAGAAAGAAACCTTACAAGAAACTTTGAAAAGAGAAAATCCACATTTGCATAGAGATAAAGATCAGGGTAGTAAAAATCACATCTTCTGAAAATTCATGCGTGCCTGGAAGATAACCATATTACCTATTTTATATACAACAGGCATTCATGCTTCCACACATGGGGTTTAGGAAACCACATTTTTACAAGTTAATAGCAAATTAAATAATATTTTAGCAATGCTACTTTCCAATGCTTTATCAATTACCTGTTAAAATGCTTACTACTTTGCATAAATACATAAAATAATTACTTCTTTGCTTCTTGGCCAATAAAGGTAATAATTTTCTTCAGGGCATTTAAAGGCAGGCCTAAATTAGCTTCATCCTGTTACCACACAATTTCCTCTCATGTGTGAAAGACAAAGTCTTAAGATATTCTCTCCATAAGCTTTTCTTTATAAAGCTTGCTCTAACTACACGACAACAGCTGCTTGATAAATAAAGGTTTGTGCCTTTTTAATAGCCTCTATGTGGAGATACTACTCACAGCCCATGCATCTGAACAAGCGTATTAGGAAAAAACAGAGAAACGTTCCACAGGTCCAGAGCTGTGAACCAAATAGGACCACTTTCTTACTTCTCATTCAACTTCTCATTCAAGTTTGCATCCAAAACCTTAAAAAGATGTGCATTTTATAGTTCTTAACTAAATCGATCACAACCAAAAATTGTAAATAACAACTATAAAGAGAAACAGAAAGTCTGAACACCAGAAAGCCAGTAATTAAACGTGAAATCCAGAGGAAATAATCACAAACTAATAAGTAAAAGGAATAATGACTGATAACTATTTTGTACCTATGGTACAAACTGGTGATGACTGTCCTTACAGTAAATGCTACAAGTCAGTAAATGATTTTTGAGATTTTTACGGGTTTTAATAGTTTTGTAAGCTGTTGTTTCTTGCTACCTGCCTGCCTTCTCCCTTACAATTTGTTACAGGCCAGGAAACTATATAAAACTTGTTAGCACTATATCTGAGTAAATAAGTGCTAAAGTGCTCTCCTCTACATAAAATGATTTTGGGTGCTAAAGTTGACATTTATACTGACAGCTCAGAGTGGCTTTTTATGTTTTCTTCCTAAGAAAGAAACTGTGCTCCAAATAATTGAATGTGGTAGATAAAATATCCAAGGCACAGTTAGGTTGGGAATGGGGAAGAAACAAGTTACAGAACAATACATATATAGCAATGTGGTTCAGTTATGTTAATAAGCCAAAACAAAATGTGTATGCATATATGCAAATATACAGAAAGAGCTCTGGGTAGGATATACAACAAACTGTTGACTCTCCTCTAAGAGGGGAGTAGGATTTAGGAGGGGTTGAGGGAGAATACTTTTATTTTCTTTTACCTTTTAGGATTCAGTATTGAATTATATGTAATCAAACTTTAAAATGTTTTAAATGGCTGATTAGTGATCTCTGAATTAATAAGGGATTAATCCTGGAATGCAATGGGCTTCTCTCCTACTGACTAGGTCTACTGACCTCATTTGTTTTGTTTGATTTTATAATATAGTACGTATGGGGCAGGTGGCAGGTAAGTAGCCAATAATCAGGTGAATGCCAGAAGGAGGTCTGCTGAAAATGGGATTTTTAAATAATTAAAATAATCCATATAGATAATCAAAAGTTGACTGGATTTCATAGGTTTTCAATGGCAACAAGTTAGACAGCATATATATTCAAGGTATTATGATAAGGACTCCCCATATTAAATCTGAATGAAACTCTCTCTTATATTGCTCCTAAGACCTAACCTTTCCACAGTAAAGGGACTAGGGACATGGAAAAATTCCACTAATAGGCTAAAGAGATACTGAAAGTTTAATAACGCATTAATTTGCCCACACAATCTAAAACTGTAGGACTTAAAATACAAATAATTTAAAATGATCTAGGTTGGAGGCTTAATCAAAACTTGTAACTAATTATTCATGGAATAAGATATAATTCATATTTCTCAGGTTCCCAATGTTTCTCCATCTATTCGGTCTCTAAACTTCAAATTTATAGAAGTCAAAAACATCAAAAAAGTTAACAAAGATGGACAAAAAGACCTGGAATATACCCGTATGCCATATTTTATTTTTTGAAGGTGCTTACTTACTAGATTTTCTTTCCTTGAACATCTCAAGCTTTAACTCACAGAATAGCATTCTTAAATACGTTTAAGGTTTGTACTTTGATTTCATTCACACCAATGAGATTTAGTGCTATTTAGCAGACTTTGGAATTCTCAGACAATTCCAGCAACACTCAACGTTTATGGCATGCAATAATTTGTAACACTGCTGAAGCAAAAATATGAAATGTCCTAGTTGCAAGGCTGGTGTGTAGGAATGAGAATGCTTACTAATGAGAGCTAGCTCATCCCAACTCACCTTTGTTGTAATCTACTTGCTAGAGCTACTGCGTATTCTACACATTTGAGATGCACAAAGATATCAGGGTTTATCCGTTTTCGATGCCCAAGTCTACTGTATTTGTTATTAATTATAAGAGATTGTTCTATGCCGTGGTAAGACAACATTCGTTTATGATGGATCACACAGAATAAGCTAACCAGGCACCATGAGCACTCAGATCCCCCCACATCCACAAATGTATGGAATAGAGCCGTTCCCATACCTGCCCTTCAGGTTTTCAAGCTCCCTGTGATGCAACATGCTCCGCATGTGTTCGTCCATCTCCTTCAAAATTAAAGAAAGCAGATTAAACTAAGGGGGAATACCTTGAAAAAAGTTCCTCTGTTCCTATTCAATCAACAATTGGGGCAGAAACACTTTGTGTCAAATGTTTTTTGTGGTTACTCTTCTCAGTTCAACACTAAAATCAGTTCCTTATTAAATAATTCTTTGGCTATGTTTTCAATATATTTCATTTTTAAATAAAAGGTATTCTTAGGAAGACATATTTAAGTGGCTTTCCAAAAATGTTAGAAAGTATTGTCTTTAGGAGGCAAAAGATTTAAGAATAAACTAAGTAGGTTAAATTCTATCCCAATATAAAGAATTTACTGAAGTTTATTTTTTAAAAAACTCTCAAATCTCTTAACTTTTCAACTATTTGGCTACTTTTATCCACACTCTCTTTCCCTACTCAACTGAAAGTTTCTCAAGAGTAAGCTACAACTTTTACCCGTAACTTGGCCAGGGCCTGGCATATAGTTGTCAAAAAGCATTTGTTGAATGAATATAGATGAATACGTCAATTTAGATCGAGTTACAAGTGTATTAATAACAAAGCCCCTCTATGGCAGATCAGAAAATTTTAAAAAATACTTTGAACATAGCACATCATTCCTTTACCCTCACTGCCCACTTCCCTAACTGATTTGTTTGGTTCTAATGAAAAGTTTGAACATTTACTAGGTTCCCCCCATCTCCTCATCCCACCCTTAGTGGGAAGAAAGTATGTAGAAAAGCTGCCACTTAAAAACATGCAAGCATGTGTGTACATGCACGCACACAACTCAAACAAGCTGTAAATGTCCATCCCTTTGTCACTCCAAAGTATATATAGGCAGCATGCCATAGTTAGAAAATGGCTATTTACATATATAATAATAAAGGGCTACTATAACTGTGACTGTTGCCATTTACTGTGCCCCATGTTAAGTGCCTCAAACATTTTCCCACTTGAACCTCAAAATACTGCTTAGGGAGTATTATTATATTAACTTCATAAGGACACAAGGATGCAGAGAAGTTAACTCATTCATTCACCAAATATTTATCAAGTGCTTATTATGTGCCAAATACAGAACTAAGCACTGAAAGCAGAAGTGTGAAAATATTCAGTCTTGCCCTCTCAGAGTGATAATCAAGTAGTCAAAGTGTGGGTCAAACCCAAACAGGTCTGACATCAAAGTCAATGTTTCAGACATTGTCACACTGTAAGCATCTAGTGCATTGAGACTGTTCATTATATACAGTGCATTTATCAAAACAGTACAGAATAACCCATTATGACTTTATCTACTACTGTGTGATAAACATCGTTGTGATTCAAAACACTTCCTTTAAATGGCAACTTTACTAAAAATGACCATCATTTCCTTCCTCTCTACACTAATGCTTCAAACGGAGAGAGTAGCTTCACATATGACCCCTTCTACCTAAAACTGGCCACTAATGAGAACTAACACTTTCACAGCTGAAAACTGAGTCAAGTTAGTGACAGAATATAGAATGAAACAATCCATGAATATACAACACCTTCTCAAGTCCCTATGCTTCCTGTTGGGCAATCTTCCCTTGATTTAGATTCTTATCCATATGCCAAATCCCCCTTTCTTGAGCTAAATTTAAGTGGGTTCTGTTCCTTGCAGTGAAACCATTCCTGACCAAAACAGTACTCTCTGAAATGGATTATTCTCTCTGATATAAATACCAATTCTAAATTCTATTTACTATAAAAATATTATTCACGATCAGTTTAAATGTGATTTTTTATTTTCTAAAATACCTCACTAATCTAAGTTTACGTGCAAAATCTTTCCCCATCCTGCTCCAAGGAATGAATGAAAATAGTGAGACAACCGAGCTTTCAAAATAATTAGAAAAGATCCACAGGCATCGGATTAAGGTAATAGCCCCAAATACGTACCTTCTCAGATACCAGGCTTCTATTTAGTTCTTTGCATATTAATCAATATTATGTTTTTAAAGGGAGGGGCGAGCAGATTTCATGATTGAACAAATTTAGAAAACATTGAGTAATACAAAGAAATATGTATTTCTTAACTCCAAGGTTTCTCAGTCTTTTATAAGTTAATGAGCATCAGGATACTCAGGGATGTAGTATGCAGCTTTTTCCCATACTCAACTCCCTTAGAACCTCTTCTCCTCCACAGTGTATTCGGAGAGACCAGGGTTACACTAGTTTGGGAAACTAGAGGAAAGCACTGCTTCAACATAAATTGTTCAGAGTCTACCTAAAAATAAGTATCAGAGTTATCCCTTCCAACTAACCCATTCCGTTATTTTCTTAAACCATATTGCTCACTGAAAGCAGGCCATTCTCTTGCTTAAAAACCTACTATAATTGGCTTTCCCTAAGGCAGGAGCGTGTAACTGCAGTCCTTGATTTAACTTCATTATGATCATGGAAAAAAATGTGAAGAAATGAAAACATGTTTTAAACCAGAGTAGAAGAAATGCCAAAAGATTTAATATGGCAAAATTATGACATCACAAGATAGGGCTGCTACTCCATGAAAATCTGATATCACCTCTCTGAGCATCGTACTATCCATAGCACACCTTCGTTCCATCTCCCTCCGACCCGAAAGTACTCATAAGGAATTTTGACTTACTGACAATTTACATAAACTCTCATCTAAATTTTTAAAACTAGATGAGCAGTTCTTTTACTTCTGTGAAAGGTAGCAAGTATATTATTAAACATGATTTTAAAATCTCATTTTTTCCATCACTAACAGAAATCCTAAATAACAAAAAACAATTCTCCACCCCAGCCTACTGGATGGATCATAATCGACCCCTCAATCCGGCATTCAACATCATCAACTGTCTTCACTTAATTTACAAATTATAGTCCTGCTATTCCCTAGACAAAACTGTTTTAATCAGATGAGCCTTCTTACCAACTCCTTGAACCCACCTCTGTGTCTCTATACATGTTATTCTCCTACTTAAAATCTCTCTTCCTCATTTCTCTTAAACCATCTTACTCCTAGACATCTTTCAGAGTTCACTACTTCCACTCAGACTTCCCTGGCTAACCCAGCCCATGATTTCCAGGTTCTCTGAATTGCCAGTGACAATAAAGAACATCTTAAAAGCATATAGAATAAATTCCTCAGTATTTAAGCTAGCAGTGCTACTATGCAAGCAAATGATAAAGGCAAGAGAAGGCAAAAAGTGAGACAAATTATGGCCAACTTCCCTAAGGAATAGGTGAACTCAGTTCATAACAAGGTCTGTTTTTCTTTGAGCAACATCCCCACCTTGTGGACACCTAGAATATTGATAATACCATCTCTGATGTGCTGCCAAGCATAGGCATGAACAGAATGCAGGCACACACAATAAACGCTGTATCTTTTAGCTGATGAGAAAGTACGTGACTCTAAAACTTCAGAAGACAGTATAACCTCAAGTAACATCTGACTTTGAAGGTATTTTCTAACTGGTTACTAACTAAATTTCTCTATATCATCTACTTTTGAGTACCCTCAAATTCTGGATAGAAGTTTAATATTAAATAATACATAAAGCCAGTAGGCTTTTATGAGGCTGTAATATGAAAGAAACCGGTGGAATGAGACTATTGTCTAGGAAAGAAGCATAAATAAGACATTGTTAAATGCTTTTACCCATCTATTAATAACATATGTCTCTTTAAAAATGAGTCATAAAGCCTCAGATTCTCTCTTCCATTATTACCTTTTTTGAGCCGTACACAATGTGGCACAATATGCATTTTCGTTCTCGTACCATAGTGACCAGATCTGAAGCATTCAACGTCACACCTGCAATGAGGAAGTAATATTTAGTAACCCTTTCCCCCAATATCTTCTTAAATTCACCTTAACCTAGACAAAATTATAAGTCTTGTACCTTCCTCACCTCCACCCTGCTCCTCCCCCAGTCTTTCCATCTCGATAAGTGGAAATTCCAATTTTCCAGGTGCCTAGTGCAAAAACTGAGAGTCACCCTTGATCCCTCTTTCTCACCCCATATCCACCCTTATAAGCAAATTCTGTCAATCCTACCTTGAAATATATCCAAATTCCAACCACTTCTCGACACCTAGTACATCCTGTAATCTCTCACATGCCATTCATTACCCTACTGACTTGACTCCCTGCTCTTACTCTTGTCCTTACAGTCTATTCTACAAACAGTAGCCAAAGATTCTCAGACAAGGATTCTTTCAAAATTTAAGTTAGACAGTTTGTACATCCTAAATCTGAAAATCTGAAATGTTCCAAAATCTGAAACTTTTTTTTTTTTTTTTGAGAAAGGGTCTCACTCTGTGATCCAGGCTAGAGTGCAATGGCGTCATCATAGCTCACTGAAATTTCAAATTCCTGGGTTCAAGCGATCCTCCTGCCTCAGCCTCCTGAGTAGCTGGGACTACAGGCGTGTACCGCCACATCTGGCTAATTTTTCTATGTTTTGTAGAGACTGGGTATCCTTCTTGCTCAGGCTGGTCTCAAACTCCTGAGCTCAAGTGATCCTCCCGCCTCGGCCTCCTAGAGTAATCTGAAACTTTCTGATCAAAAACATGACATTCAAAAGAAATACTCATTGGAGCATTTTTGATTTTTGAATTTGAGATGTTTTAGCCCGTAAGTGTAATGCAAATATTCCAAAATCTGAAAAAATTTGAAATCCACAACACTTCTGGTCCCAAGCATTTCAGATAAGGGATATTGAACCTATATGTAATTCCTCTGGTCAGAATTTTCCAATGGCTTCCCATCTCACTCACAGAAAACCCAAAGTGCTTGCCATGGCTACAAAATCTGTTTCTCACTTCCTCTCTGACTTCGTGCCCTACCACTTTCCCTCTATTATTCCATTCCAGTCACAGTGCCCTCCTTGCGATTCCTTGATCACACCACAGAGTCTCCCGCTTTAGGGTGTCTATATTTCCTGTTCTCTCTGCTTGGAATATTCTTCCCTAAGATGTTCCTAGGGTTCTGATGGTTCACTCTCTCATTTCTATCAGTATCTAAAATGTTGCTTCATCGGGGAGGCCTTCCTAACCAGCTATATTAATACTATACTTTCTAACGCACACCTCCGCCCACTTCCTCTATTCCCGTATTAGCCTGCTTAATTTTTTTTTAGGCACTGTGGTAGATGGTGTTTCCACACAAGGCCTTAACAGTATCTCCTACCCCATGTGCTCTTCTGCAATAGGTTCTTGCTACTACCCGTCAAAAAGCAGAAGTCCGTTTCCCCTCACAAGAACTATTTAATATTTTGATCAATAAAATGTGGTAGAAGTGAAGCTGTATAATTTCCGAGGCTGGACTTTCAAAATCTGCACCTTCTGCCTCTGCCTGCTTGTTTCACTCCCTCATGGAACTCCGCCACCATGCTGTGAGAAGCTGAAGCCACAGGGAAAGGCCAAATGGAAAAGAACTGAGGCCCCAACTGAGCACCCAAACCACCACCAGGACCAACTGACAGCCATATGAGTGAGTCATCTTGGGGGTTCCAGGTCCAGCCACTCCAATGAGACCCCAAGTGAGACCAATAGATGAACATCCAGATAAGCCTTTTAAAACCCACAGAATTGTGAGAAACAATAAAATAGTTGTTTTAAGTGAGTAAATTTTGGAACAGTTTGTTATGAAGCCAGTGACAGACATATCTAAAACAAACACCTTTTACTACCTGTCATAGTATGTATTTGTTATGCTCCATCTTCTCCCAATTAAAATTTAAGTTTCTTGAGAACAGGGACTTTGTATATTCTGCTCACTAGTATAGTTCTAGCATTTAGAACAGTGTCTGGCATATCATAATCAATCCGTAAGAGTTTATTGAATTATTCCAAATGGAATTACAAACTGGGTTAGAAATCCAAGTAAATGTGAGAGACAGCTGGGTAAACACTGGGGTCTGGAGTAAGACTCAAAGGTTTTCTATTTTACAATCCTCTAGCACTAGCATATTTTCCTCTTCAGTCTCTCCTAGAGATGCACTACATGAAATTTTAAATTCATTCCCCAAGCAAGAGTTTTTCCCTCTACACCATCGTAACATCAGGCTCTAATAGCTATATCTGTTTCCTCACCTGGGGTTCATTCCTTAGGAGATTTTAAACCTGTGACATAATGAGGTGATAAGCTACCCTAGTTTAATCTTTAACTCGTAGACAATAGGTCACAAGGACAATTAAAAGAGGCCTAAGATTCTGCACTCCTGGTTTTCTTGCTATTGCAATCCATTTCACAACACCGCTAAATGCCTAAATTATTTAATAAAGTTTAACACATCAAAATAAGATTACAGGTTAAAAATCTGGACACTTGAGAAAGCTAAATGTCAATTAGTTAACAAAACAAAAAATATACCTTTATGGATATTGATATTTTCAGTATTACTAACAATCCCCTAAATCTCTAATATAAATCACTCTATTGCTGAGTATTATAGCATACTTATTCTTTTAATTCCCTTATATCTCAACATTTACTTCAACTTTACTACCTACACGCATTATTTTGTCAGTTTCATTCAACAATCGTTTACTGAACATCAAGTACTATTCTAAGGGCTGGGGAAACTGGTGAAGAAAATATGTCCAGGAATGTTTTAAATTCTGCTTCAAGTTATTAACCATCAAACCAAAACAGGAAAAAAAGAAACTTAGAAGCAATAAAGTCAATAAAAAGTGTGACTTTCTGGCATAAACAACAGCAGGAGTTTTTATATATTACTCAGAACTAAGCACTCTCAATTAGAACTCTCTCAGAACTAAGCACTAAAATACAAACTGTATTTCTATTTCACCAAGCCAAAGACATAAACCCCTAGTAAACTGATAAAGCCATACAGTATAATAAAAATATTCTATATCAACTTTTCAACCAAAGACTCCCTTTTTATTTTTCTTTTCACAAGCCCCATGTTTTTCTTTTTTTTCCCTAAGCCTCTATAATCATATGAATGCTCCATGTTTCTAATCTGCAAGTATGAAGTATATTCACTTTTACTTTCTTAAAATATCAAAAAGCGTAACTGCTAGCAAAATATTCAATCAATATGGGAGCTCTAGTATTGAAACACTGAGTTGCTATGATTCCAGCCAAAGGAACTTCAATTTGTACCTCCTTAAATTGGGTAAATACATAAATTCCATTAAGCTTTCCGAAATAACTGAAACTAGCTCACAGCCTTCCAGATGGGAACCAATGCTCTCTTTAAAGGGCTTGGCAAAGATTAGGAGACAAGGAAATGCAAGCCATCCAATTCTATGATCTCAACCATGGTGACTGGGAAGTTACAAAATACAAGTAAATAAGCAACTCAAAACAACTGCTATCCTCACTTTAACCACTTTACAGCTCCCCCATATTAATAAAATACATCCACCACGAAATCTTTCAACTTTTCTCCAAATAACTATGAGAAACATCTGTGATATTTCTTAAACCTAATATCTTAAAAACTCTATAATAAATACTTTTTCTCAACATCCTAATTACTAGTATTCTGTCAATACAATTATCATTCTCCTTAGGTAAAATCCTATCATGTCTGATTCTTTTCTTTCAGACTCTCATACTTAGTCACCGAGTCATCCACCACCAGACAAGGAAACGGACAGGGCAGAGCATGGTCTGATTCTTTAATTCAGTATTATAACTAGTGTCAGTTTCCAATTCCTTACTCAATTCTGGAACTTGGCAAGCATTACGCCCTAGAAGGAAAAATAACCCCAAAATAAGGTGGGTTATAACATTGACCCTAACCAGTAAATAAAATACTAGCAAAAGTTATAACAGAGTAAGTCATAAGCCCAAAGACAACTTACACGAACACTATTTTAAAAGTATAACTGGGCAGCTTGTTGCATTTATTTAATAGTTGAAAGTTTGTACCCTTGTATTTAACAGTATCCATCATTTATATATTTTTCCCAAAGCAACCCCAAAGGTTCACACCGTAATTTAAAATTCTGTAACATGGCCAGGCGCAGTGGCTCAGGTCTATAATCCCAGCACTTTGGGAGGCTAAGGTGGGAGGATGGCTTGAGGCCAGTAATTCAAGACTAGCCTGACCAACATAGCAACATCCATCTCTACAAAAAATTTAAAAATGAGCAGGGCATGGTGGTGTGCACCTGCAGTCCTAGCTACTCGGGAGACTGAGGCAGGAGGATCACTTGAGCCCAGGAGTTGGAGGCTGCAGTGAGCTGTGATCAGCCACTGCACTCCAGACTGGGCAACAGAGATCCCATCTCTAAAAAAATAATTTTTTGAAAATAATTAAAAAGAAGTTCTGTGACATGAATTATGATCATTACAAGCTAATGAATGAGCCTAGCTGACTGCCCAATATTCTTCTCAAAAAGCTGTTCTCCACTCATCTTGTTGATAAAGAGTATGTTTAATAATCTCCATCAATTTGTATAAAAAGAAAACATTTATTATTCGCTAAGCAATGTAGATCATCACAAAGGTCTTTATCTTCATTGTCTTCACAGTGAGTTGCGGGGGTTGGTCTTGTTGTCTCAGGGGTGGTAGAAGCAAAAGAAAATCTGGGTAAAAGTGGACCTACAGAGCTCAAAGTTGAGTTATTCAAGGGTCAACTATATATTTTCTCTTCCTTATGATTTTCTTAACATAAAATTCTCAAGCTTACTTTATTGTCAGAATATAGTATATAATACATTTAACATACAAAATACGTGTTAATCAGTTGTTTATGTTATCAGTAAGCCCACAATAGGCTATTAGTAAAGTTTTGGGGAAGTCAAAAGTTATATACTGATTTTCAACTGCATTGG